TGGCCAATAATATTCTTCAAATAATTATTTATCCATTTGGGGTCATGGTTGTTTAATCTGAGTTTTCTGTATGATATGTTCTGCCTTTGTGCATTAAGTAACTCATCACAGTGGTCCCTCAGTTAACGAACACGATTCGTTCCAGATGGTCGTCATTAACCGAAACCATTGTTTCAATGGGATTTTGGTTCCAGCTCACTGAAAATTACATACAAACTAAAAATAAATGCAGTAAAGTACACTTACTTTGAGGTGTGTATGTAGAAGGTTCCTGGTTGATGATGATGATGATGGGAATTAGAAGTGGGGGTGGAGGAGAAGGGAGAAGAGAAGGCAGTGGGGGTGGAAGAGAAGTCACCCCATGGCACCATTTCACTCATAAAATTTTACGTTCACTTGGTGTAATTCAAGATTATTTTCTTTAAATCAACACTGCACTGCATTATATAGTCAATATGTAAAATAAACTTCAGAATGACCAATAATTGTACTGTAAAAAGGTAAAAATAGTTTATGTTCAAGAGTGTCTCAAGCAAGAAGCTTCCTCCACTGAGCAGACACAAACTGACGCCATTCTGGGTGAGTCAAGTGGCTGTTTGGCGCGCTAAAAACTAGTTCCCTGTACTTCAATTATGTTAAATAATTGTTAAAATGACTAAAAAATTTAATATAAGACTTGGAAAATTATTGAATAGTACAACCTTCTTGATATTTACTCAAATGGTAACGAATTTAAGCCCTAAAACCGATTACTGTATTGGCGGACTAATACTACAGCTGGTGAGCAGGCGAAAACATGTTGGGAAAAATTCGTAAGGAATTCGTTAACCGAAGTGAATATTCTTATGGAAGGTAATTCGTTAACTGAGGGATCACTGTATTTAAATTATTATGGAACTTGTCAACCTCATATCTAGTACATTGTTGTGGAACTCTTCAACCTCAGATCTTGTGGCTGTTTATCAGTAATCTTTGTACGTCTATGCTGCCTTTTATCATTCATGCAAAAATAAATGTGTAAACATTTACTTTTACTTTTTAGTCCGAGTTGTTTTTCCGAGATGGTCCGAGTTGGCAATGGGCCGAGTTGGACTGTATTCCTGCCAACACTATTCCTTGAGTTGAGAGTGTACAGTAGTTTTACCTGAAGAAGAGAACAATTTTAATATGTGGATGTGAGGTGTGTTGTGAGGTGGGTTTTTGTTATGAGGAGCAACACAGAGGGCCGGGGGCTAGGTAGAGCTGTAGTTGTTCTAATGTTTGATGTATTGACAGGGTATTGGTGACAGTAGTGGAGTAACAACCTCATTCAGAGATGTGTGGTATGATGATTTGAATTTCATCGGAGTATTGACCGTTGAACCGTCGGTGGAGTGAGGAGAGGGAGGATACTGAACTGTGCACTTGGAGGATGGAGTCACATGGGAGATCGAGACCAACGATAATATGTGTTGATCTACACTGGATATTGTGAAGGAAGGTTGGAAAACTTCAGCCAAATGTGGGAGCCTTGTAAGGGTGGTGAGGGTGTAGCAAGAGGTGAGTATTGGCCGGCCGGGAGGAAACAATAAGAAAAACACTTCTTTTTCTTATGATTATATCCTGGCAAGATTTAGTACTGTTACTTATAAGAGAAATTGTGTCTGATGGTTTTTAGTAGAGATTAATGTGACTAGAGGAAGGTGAGCAGAGTGAAGGTTGCTGTTGTTAGTTACTACACCATAGAGATGTCTGTCTCCACTAAATTGTTTCAAAGAAATTATGTTAATGGAATCTACAGATAATCAAATGATTTTTTCCTGTTTTTATCCACAGTTCTTTTGGTGTGCTGCCCACACTATGGTAAGACTGAGACGTTGTTTTAGTCTCCCCATAAGTTGTACTTGACCCAGTGGGAGCCAGAGACCTGTCAGGGCCATATTATATAATCACTACACACAACACTGCTCGGTGCCTCTGTTGTGAAAGCTCTCGGCTCAAGTAGAAAATTAGATTTCAGGGTCAATCTTTTTGTGCACAAGGGAGTCATGTATGTGTCATATGATCACTGGAATGACTTTTAATTTGCCACAAATATAATTTATGTTCTTGTTATGGCATAGAAATTAAAAAAAAAATCAAAGCTTTGTCATTTATGATTTTAGATTCTATGAGTGACGTGACTTAGGGAGCTCACATGTCATGCTTGGATGCAGTGGTGAAGTGCTTTGATTTTTTTTTCTTAAATTGAGGAATTTCTTCAAGGACTCTGAGTTGGTGGAATTGTTCAGAAAACTGGAGTGAGATTTTTTATGAGTGGTCATCATACTGGTGGGCCAGGAGGTGTTACACTGATGGCAGATAAACACTGTACAGTACAAGGCTCAGTGTGTCCCTCTGGTGATATAAATGACTTGGTTCTTTTTTCATTGTTTTTGAACTGGTGTCCAGGCTGGAGTGATGATGTTGTACCTACTGAAGTTGGGGAATTAGTAATATGCATTTGTGAAGGAATTTTGTTTGCACACACACAAACTTGAAGATGTGAATTACACGAAAGCTCTTGGGAACTTCATGTTTTCTTGTTTCCTATGTGGTTATCAGCATATGCACACACACTCACACACACATTTCAGGATCCATGGCAGAGTTGCAGGAAAGGCTAAGCTGATTTAATTACTAATCTGGAAGATTTTTTTCTAATAATTTTCCAGGCTTGATGGCCAATGTTTTGTGGCCCGGTGATTGGTAACGCCTCTGGATGTGTTCCAGAGAACTTATAATAAAACATTTTATAATGAGTAATTTTTCCCCCAAAGAATTACTGTACTGTACAGTAATTAGGGTTACACTACAGTATTGGATATGCATTCCAACATAGCCAGTAAATCAGCTTTTACACTGGAGTTTATTATAATATATGTACTCTACTGTACTGTATACTATTTGATATGGAGATACATTCCTAACAACATTATTTGTTACCTACATGATGGCTCCATATGGTTCCTTGTTACACTTAGATAACTGATTAATATATAAATACATTACAATATTATTAACTGAAGACAGTTGTGGCAACCATCTTGAGCAGTGAGAGAGGTACACACTGCTGGAGGTCATCCATCAGCTGCTCAACTTTGTAAACTAATACAACACAACACAATGACTCATCTGACATTGGGTGTGGGATTTTTTTCAGTAAAATTTATTATTTTACAAAAATATTTTATTAACCAGGTACCAAATGAATGTAAATTAGTATGTGAGAGTTATGGTGATACTGTATTACACACTGTACAGGTACTCCCCGACTTACGACCGACTCGACTTACGTCCACCCGCACTTACGACCTGCCTCAGTCGTACCAAAATGTGGTCAAATTATGTATTATTGAGTCCCAAAGTCAGTACACAGACAAAATTTTCATCTGTAATTCACTTTAAAATGGCTGGCAAGCTTAAAAGTGAGTGTTTTGAGGTGCTGACAAGAAAAAGAGACACCCATTTTCGATTTTCTATGTGTTATTTAAGCATTTCCGACTTTCGACCATTTCGACTTACGACCTGGATGTCGGTCCCTAACCTTCTATATCTTTAATGGTTTGTTATGTAACAATGGCACGTGCACAGCCTTGTCACAGCTAAGAAGCGCTCATGTGTTATAGTTATTTCTAGACTTGATATTCTCCTACACACAATATACTTTATCCCAAGACTCATATATTATATGTTTATACAACTGTACAGTTTACAGTATTTTATTTACTTATTAGGTTCACTAGCTCATTGTAATGACGTTTGTGGTTATGTTACACACACCAATGGCATTAGTGCTCAGCTGAGTGAAAAGTGACATGTGTTTTGGTGTGGTAGATACTGAACACTTGTAGGCCACTTTTATTACTTCTTATGGCTATTTTTTACTTTACATTACACACTTTTAACACTATTTATGCTTCTTATTCACCTACTCACACTTTGTATACAACTGGACAACGTGTAATGGTAAATTGTCCTATAATTGTTAGCAACGTATATGTCAAATGAGGTACAGTACAATACCATACAGTACAGTACAGTATCATACAGTAGAACATTAACCTCCTCAGCTCAGGTAACTTTAAACAGTAAACATTGGTGCATTATGGAGTCTGACATACAACTTAAATACACTACAGCTATTACTGTGGCATCAATAACTTACTTGAGATATTTGCTTGGCTGTGGGAGTGTGTACCATTTGGTGTGCAGTACAGAGTTACTAGACAGTGACTGCTGCTGCAAATTACCATCTCTTGACACATGTGACTGTGACAGAAATGTGTTCAAATTGATAATTAAACATTATGCGAACTGCATTTTTTCTGTCAAAATACATAAAAATTAAATGCTACATTCCTTATGATGCTTTTTACCATAAATTATTTCCAGGCCTTGAACACAATCAGTCTAAAGAATTGTGTAAGTACATGGAGAGGAAGACACATCAAGGATAAGTAATGACAACAACTCCCTCCCTGCTACACTGTGATGCTCCTCACATTTACCTTAATACATTACAGTAATGTTAACTTTTGACCTTACCATCAGCCTCTTCTCCCAACACACGTTATACTGTACATAGTGTGACAGTGTCCGTCTATTATGAGTCATATATTAGGCTGCGAGGTAAATAATCTGAGATTTCATTGAACTTGTAATTGCCTGTACAGTATTGTGTGATATATACCATAACTATGGTACAGGAGATCACCCAGTCTCTCTCTCACTGACAGATGTAAGTTAGGTTGATCACATACTGTACTGTACACAGTGTCTCAGAAAGATGTACTGTTGTTCTACAGCACCAACACTGTCCTCACTTGTATGAGGTCTCCCACAAGAGAGGACACTGTTGCTGTTGTAATACAAGTACTGTATTCATGAAATTTGTAAATTGGTGCACATGCATTTTTCTGAGATGCCATTTAAACACCAGATACTGTATACAGTAAGTCTAATGCAGTACATGATGTGAGAAATACAGTGGGTGAAGTTGTCTTGCCGTCAACAGGTGGTCAACATCAACCTGGTGCGGGACAAAAAGACGGGAAAGAGCAAAGGATTTGCTTTTTTGTGTTATGAAGATCAGAGGTCCACAATCCTGGCCGTGGATAACTTAAATGGCATCAAGGTAAGCTACTACTAGACAAACATCAGAACATAAAAAACACCACAAAATAAAGATAGTTTAGCAATTTTGAAATAAGTATGATGGCATAATAACCACATGTGAAGCCATACTGTCACTTGTCTTAGTGGGGAGCTAATCATCAGGTGGTCCATAACCTCTCATCATATCTCTATAAACGACCACAACAACTCTCTCTTTGATAGCTAGCGAGCCGCACCATCAGGGTGGACCACGTGGAGGAGTACAAGGTGCCCAAGATGACGGAGGACATGATGCCCGAGCAGCAGAAGCTGGCCATGGAGGGGTGCGCTCCACAGCCTCGCTCACTAACACCTGACAACTGTGAGGAGGATCTACGAGTCAGAGAAGGTAAACTACACTAAACTGAATCACTTATATGATGGAAATATTCACATCTTTAATGGCTTAACTCAGGGTTGGCCAATTTAAACCAAACAAAAATAGATTTGTTCTTATCACAGCCATTTTTATTGGTTTTAATTAGTTTTGTTGGTTTTTATTACTTACAGATGGTTTTAATGATTTATAGTGTATTTGGAAAAGGCAAATGATAGGGTGAACAGAAGAGCATTGTGGGGTGGGAGGAAGGCCGTAAAAACCTTGTATAAGAACAGCAGAGCAACAGGGGTATAGCAACAATGTATCTGGTGTCCTTAATTGCTGACAGGAAATTGATATTGATTGATCAATTATTAACGAATTTCGTGCTTCAGCCGGACGCTACCCTTAAGTCGTCGTAGTCTGCTCAATGTGATTATATCATTGCACTCCCGGGGTTAAGTCTATAACAGGTAGCCACCCCATAAATGCAAAAGAAAACATGAAATTGAGGATATAAAATTTAGAAGTAATAAAAACTTTGTCCATGAAGTCAGGTAACTGGCAACTGCTCAGCCCTGGTGGTGGTGAGTGAGGCATAAATAATTCTAAATCATTCCAAGATGTTAACAATAACTTGATGTGAGGTTCCACCAGTTGTAGGCTCTGGGCTACATTTATCATTGTAAATATATTGGTTGGAACCAAAAGTTTGGATCTACAGTTATTAACAGCTTTACACGTCTAACTGTTATCAGTTACATACTTTTTACATTTACTCTTGGACAGGACGTGTGTGTATTTTCATTAATTTCACCCTTACAAAGATCCCAAATAATGCACAGTTTTCTAATAAACCCTCGTGGGCTCCATAATATGGTTCTGTGGGCACCAAGGAACTACAGGTTGAGACCACTGCTCAAAGAGTATTTACCAATCATCATCTTCCCATTATTATTTTGAGTTTTGATGCACAGCTTTAAATTCATGACACCAAATGCCAGTTGACTTTAGACAATGATGGCACTGTGTTGGTAAATCAGGTGAAGACGATGATAGCAGTTATACAGCTTGTTGGGAAGATGATGTAGTGGAGTAACAAGTGGGAGTCTGTACTGTACTAACAACATCTCTATTCATTTGTTTTTTAATCTTGACTAATTTTTCCTTTTAGAAAAAACAATTAAGAAAGAAAAACTAGAGAAAGTGAAGGTAAAGAAAGAAAAGAAGAAAAAGAAGAAGAAGAGGAAAGTGTCTTCGTCGTCTTCGGACAGTCCGTCGTCGTCCGAAGATTCCGACGACGAGGAGAAGAAAAAGAAGAAAAAGAAAAAGAAGAAGAAGAAAAAGAAGAGGAAGAAGGCGAAAGAAGAATCGGATTCGCAGAGCAGCAGCGACGATTCGGCCAGAGAAGAAGAGCGCAGCAGGACAAAGAACAGGGAGAAGGCCGACGAGGGGATGCCGGCAGTGAAGGAGGAGAAGCACGACCCGGGCTACGACAAGTACGAACAGTCCGGACTCCAGGACGAGGAGTACAGGTTTAAGAGCAGAGAAAGAGATAAGAGTCAGGAGAGGTACAGCAGAGACTTCCAGAGAGATAGAGGAGGACAAGACCGATACAGAGACCAAGAGAGACACAGAGATCAAGAGAGATACAGAGAACATGAGAGATACAGAGACAATTTTATGAGAGACAGTAGAGAAAGAGAGAGAAGGCATGACAGATACAAAGATAACACGAAGAGAGATAATGAATGTTACGGCTACAGGGACGACCGCGACAGAATCAGGGAACACGGGCACTGGGGCGGCGGCGGCTCAGATGGTCGCTACAGAGGACGTGGCAGAGGAAGGTACTTTGACGGGGACAGAGGACGCGGCAGGTTCTATAATGCCAACTTTAACAGACGGGGAAACTTTGGCAGAGGCAGAGGTGGATTCAGGTTCAGAGGAAGACGATAGAATGATTGAATCGTGAGCGGGTGTGTGTGTGTGTACCTAATGTAGACAGTCACACGTGTAGGATGAATAATGATTTAGCTGATTAAGAAGTGACAGTAACTTGTTTGTTTATATACCATAGGCCAAACATTTAATCTCTTTCTGACTTTATTGGAAAAACCTAAATTATATACTATAAACAAGTAGGAATTTCCCATATAGACAAAACCATAACCCAGCCTAGCCTAACCTAACCATGTTTATCGTTCTCTGTCTAACCTTCCCTGACAATTAGAGCTATGTGCCTTAACATCGACCTGTCCTCTTGCACGTTCAGCCTCACGTTGTGTCTCATTACTGTACTTACTATGTTTGTGTGGTCAGTGCTTTGATGTTGTCCTTATCTTACCCTTAATTAAACCAAAATATTCTTCCTGTGTTACATTACTTGTCTCTGATACACCTTAACACCTTCCTGTGTTACATTACTTGTCTCTGATACACCTTAACACCTTCCTGTGTTACATTACTTGTCTCTGATACACCTTAACACCCGATACACGGATCCTCCAAGTTATTCCTCTGTGCACCTTCATGGGGGTCTGTCCCTCATATAACCCGTTGCTTAGGAAGGAAATGATAATCACACCGACGTTTCCTCCTGTTGTTACACTAGTAGCCCTAACTCCTGTAATATTGAGAGCAAAGTTTGTTGTGTTTAGGGTTCACTGTCACCTGCACTGTACAGTATATTGTGTGTTTAGCTGTGCCTCTCTCTGTGTGGTTGTCATCCATAAAGTAGGAGTTTATGTTGGTCTCCATCATTTGTATCTGGTTGTTACTTAATCTGTAATAATGATTTTTTGTATTTATGAAGGTGTGTGCTGAGTTAAACCATAATGTTATACTCTCATATATTATACAAGTACTGTATAATCATTTTCTATATGTAAGATATCATCATAAAGTGTTGTGAGTACATACAGATGTTTGGTCTTTATACATAAAGGTTTAAGACTCAGCATCTCCATTCATCTTGACTGTCAGATAAGATAAAACTGGGGACTACATGCATTAGTTTATATGTGTGTTGGCATGGACAAGTGTATGTGTGTTGGCATGGACAAAAGTATGTGTGTTGGCATGGACAAGTGTATGTGTGTTGGCATGGACAAGTGTATGTGTGTTGGCATGGACAAGTGTATGTGTGTGTTGGCATGGACAAGTGTATGTGTGTTGGCATGGACAAATGTATGTGTTGGCATGGACAAGTGTATGTGTGTTGGCATGGACAAGTGTATGTGTGTTGGCATGGACTTGTGCAGATGTGAAATAGATATGCAAGGAAGGTCATACAGTCATGAGTTCATTTATACACAAAAACATTATTATACTAAATTGAGTTAAAGAGAAGTTAATTTGTGAACACTTTGCTTACTTCTGTGTGGTAAAAAGGTCCAAGTTTTTAGTACCAGATAGTGACACCTGCCAATCCCACCACCTGTGTACTCGGACCACCTCCGTGATCCGACCAATAGAATTCAATCCCTCCAAATTCGTGTTAATTAATATAGTGCACTCAGTCAAGTACAGTGACCCACCATACAATAAAGATTCTAGCCAGTAATGTTGGTCCACGGTCTCCTATGCTCACACTTACGCAAAATTTCTCGCGTGTCGGCTACCTCATGGTGATTATCATGTGTTGTGCAGGACCCATAATTCACTTATATGCATCACAAACAATGCAAATGTTTTTTGTGACAAACTTTTCCTCTGTTAAATCCCCACACAGGGATCTGCCAGCCATACTGTACTGTACTGAGAGGGGTGACTGTCAGGATATCGCTCTACAACCTGTGTGTGCATGGTGCAGCAGTACTGTTCTGTTGATGTGAAAAACAGTTTTAAGTTATTTTCCAGAATTAGTTTTCTGGAATTTTGTTTTGTAACTTAAGTTTCATAATTCTATATTACAGGAATTGAGTATTATTTCACTTTTATTTCACAAAGCAGCTTTTGTAAATGGAAGAGTGATTGCTAGTTCTGTAGTGTGTGTGTGTGTGTGTGTGTGTGTTTGTACTCAGACCAGCACCTCTCTGTAGAGGACCTGGCCTCAGCTCTTGGGTGGTCTCAATACACAGGTTTAATTTGGTGTTTATTATTGAGAAGTCAAACCCGTAAATCCATATTTACTCTATTTACTTTAATCTCTTTATATAAACAGATTGGAACTCAAACAACCAAAAGTTATGTGGTTGGACTCCATTTTTTATTTTGGTTTGATTTGCCATTGAAGACTTAATGGTAAGCTTTGAGTGAAGTGATTGTTAAGTGTAAAACTGATTGTCAAATGTAGAAGAGTACTGTACATCATTAGCGTGTAGTATGTAAACAGTCAGTAAACCACCCATGTGGAGTAAGTTCATCCAAACTTAGAAGTTTTTTTATCATTTATGGATCCACTTCAGTAAGTCCTTATGAATCTCTCTAGTTATATGTAGTACTGTATAGTATAAGTGTACAGCCGGACTGTAAATTACTTTACCCATTCAGTGTCAAACAATATGACAAACCAGCAAATAAATCCTTAAAAAGTTCACACATCTGACTCCACATTGTTAGTCATACTGTCCTTATATGGTAATATGTGGAGCTGTCACTACAGTATTCCTCTCTTCATAATGAAATTTACTTTTCTGTGTAATCTTGTGTTTCAAAATACAAGTACAGGTGCTCCTCTACTTAAGAACGTTCAACTTACAAACTTTCAGAGATACAAACATCATCAATGAGGGGGGTTACCTGTCAGAACAGGTGTTTAATGTGGATGAGACTGGATTATTTTTAAGAAAATTCCAGATAGAACAAACATTACCTAAGAGAAGAGTGAGCCAGGTTTTAAGGCTGTATTAAAGGGTATAGCTGTACTAAATATCCATAATCTTTTCATTTTTTACAATATGTTTGGTATCTACAGGAGTAAAGTTGGACTTACAAACAAGCCTCGGGAACGTAACTCATTCGCAAGTAGAGGAGCAAATGTATGATTATAAAATATTTTGAAAAACAAAGAATTAATGAAAAAGGAATCACAATTACACTTACCAACCCTATTGAAAGGACAGGAGAGGTAGTTTTCAGTTTGAAATCCATCACACTAAGGGGTAAAAGTAATTTATGGTATGACTGGACAGTCGGGGAAAAACGTTGGCTCCCCGAGGTGAAACCGAGTCACAGGAATGAGTCTTCGAACTGACTTACTCTGACTGTTGTATCTCATTAGGGGTCGATACTGCTTCAGTATGAGCGGGAGCAAACTTTTGACCTTGACTGTACATGCAAGGTTTCTTAAAATACTCTGAAAGTGTCACACTGGATATTGCCCAAACAGTGATGAACAATGAATTTCTCGTATATGATGTACAGTATAATGTACCTCAGACCTGTATGTACAGGGAGTTGATTTCAAATATAGTGATGCAGTGGTGATTCACTTTCCGCGATTTCTCATTTATGCTGTGCCTCGCCAGAACCGAACTTTCACTTTCCGCGGTACATCTACTCATATACGCGGGAAGCGGCGCAGGCAGGATGCGCACAAGGTCGCCCAGTCATCAAAACATTACCGAGTTCTTCACCCGCCACCCACCACAACCGGCATAAGTCAGTGATAGTGAGGATATGGACTTATATGAACTTTGAGGGGTTTGACAAAGAGGCCCTGGAAGCCTCTGTGGTGGATAGTGATACAGGTGAGGGCCAATAATCTGCCCTCTGCCTCGGAACCAACCCCCCTTCCCCGTGTGCCCAGCCATCTTTTCTACTAATGTAAGTGTTAAAAAAAACTAATATTATTGATATTTCTCTTAATTGTTAAATGTGTGTGCATACCATCATAAAATTAAGATGTAATTTTTACTACAACGTAGGTACTGTGTCTGAAAAAGTGGAGTTTGGGGGTCGGGCCAGTCTCTACTGGAATTAATCCTATATGTTCTGTTGTTCACTTTACGCGGTTTTCACTTTCCGCGGTACCCCAGGGGTTCAATTGACCGCGTAAATCGGGGTACTACTGTATTGGGATACATATACCATAACATAATGGCACCAAAAATAATAAATGATGTTACATACATCATCTCAGATAATAATAATAAATGGTGTTACATGTTACAAAATACACCCTCATATCGGTAGATAAAGTGCACACTCAAAATTTTCCTTACAGAACTCAAATTTCAATGTTCATAGGTCATGAAAGTTTCTTTTCCGCGATTGGTCAAATGCTTACAGGACACCCTGAGATTTAACAAAGATTTCTCAAGCTAGGACATAGACGAACGGACCCCATCAAGTCGAAGGAATGATTTGTTTGCCCTTAATCTAGAGTCATGTCGCACTCGCGAGAGGCAGCAACATTCAAGGGACTCCGAACGAGCGGGTATTCCCAAGAATCCAATGCTAACGAAACGGTCCTCATGAGAACACCACCAAACCAAAAACTGTCTGTACTTATGGCATTCATTTGCCATGTAGAACTAATAGCGCCATATTTCTATGCCCAAATACTCCCTGAAAGTCACGAACTCTACACCTATATACCAACAACACCCAGCCTACATAGGACTTACCAACCAGAACTTGAGAATTCACCACTGGTATCTTTACTCAAACTAGTAACAGATACCCTTCAGATGATTGCATAACTGCCAATACATCTTCCAATCTCTATGTCTTTTACTGCAAATTGACCATTCCTCTGCAAAATATTTTCAATAAAAAAAACAAAAACATCAATTCTTTACCTCTCCCTTTAACACAAGTTACTTATAACTGACTGCACACTTCACTATCAACTACACATCATCAGCCAATGGGGGTCACTTAAAAAGCCCACTGCTTTTTAAAGATCCAATCTCACCACGGGTTTTCTCGTCCTTACGGGAAATCGTGGAGCAGGAGCAACTACTGTTCTCTCCTCATCCCGTATAGCATCTCTCTCATCAGGCTCTGATTCTGAGGAAGAATCATTAGGGGGAACCTGGATGTCATTTACATGGACAAACATATCTCTGTTGATACAACTTTTCACCTTTTCTGCTGCTCATCGGATTACTTCTGTCTCATCTGAAAGGTGGGTTAACTCATACGCTGCACCATTGGGTATGACCTCAGTTACTGTATATGGGCCCTTCCACTTAGCATTTAATTTCCTACTGGTACCTGGGATAGGAGCTTCATCTCTCACCCAAACAGTTTCCCCAAGCTGTACTGTCTGATTGACTCTATCTCGGTCTGCTACTTTCCGGAATTCTCTAGACATTCGTTCAGAAATTTCTTTAATTACTCTGTGAGCTTCTCTCAACCCTTCAGTACTCTCGTTTTCTATTATTGGTCACTCAATTCCCACTTGTCTCTGTGCATGCCGGGAGAAGAATGCGAAGTGTGGCTGCACTCCAGTCGTTGTGTGAACAGAAGTGTTCAACGCATATTGGGTCGGACCCAAGAATCGTGGCCAGCGACGCGGGTTATCTTCGCACATGATTGACAAAATGTTCTTAAAAGTTCGGTGCATCCTCTCCATGATACTGTTACCTCAGGGGTGGTAAGGCAAGAAACGACGGGGATCATCTTCCAAATTGTACTCTAATCGCACAAACTCCTCCCAGGCAACTTCCAGGGGGATTTGTTTCACCAACAATTTCCGCAAGGCTACTTTAAGTTTATCCCAATCTTCCTCATCAGTATCAAGTTCTACTTGGACCATGGCTTCAACTTGCTGGTCCATGCGGTCGGTAGCTACATGCCATCTATCCCTTGAGCTAACTGCGTTATACTCTACTTTCTTACAGAATTTAGTTATGATGTCGTCTGCATTAAGGCCAACGAGGTTGTCAATGGACAGCCTCGGAATGTATTGGTGGTAATGGGGGCCAGGAGATCGGCTGGGTATATCGTTAGGAGGGGACAAATGTGGAAGCACGGCAGGGAGAGTAGGTATAGCCGGTTCTTCCCTCCGTTCATCAAGCAACGCTTGTTGTCTCCTTACTGTATCCATAGACTCAGCGAGTTTAGCCCGAAGAGCCTGGACTTCTGTTGCTAGTTCAACCGCGGTTTTGGCCGTCATGGTCCCCTGATTCGCGTTAGCATCTGCCATCGTGTTACAACAAATCAATACTATAACCCACTGTAAATACAATAACATGCACAGTGCTCACTCAAGACCCAAGGACTGGTACTCAACTGATTTTCTGCAATACGACTTAACATTCCATGCATCAACTATTCAAAATACTGTTCAAATTATTAATATCCCAAAAGATAATATTATTGCATGAGAAATACACCGAGACAATTTGCTATTCACACAAACTCTATATGGTGCAACACTGCGTGAACACTTCACGAATTTCTGTACACACAATTCCGGGTCCATACACTTGTATAACACTTAACATATACCGTATCACCATAAGGTCCTCACATATATAATACTGTATTCTGAAAGTATACTGGCATTAGAGTTCACATAACACAACGTTTCACCAAATAATGAACCGTTAGCACCTGATTAAAATACACTTTACAATTATAGCATACACATAGAAATATTAATATAAGGAACTGTAAACACCCCGAGATATTAAGTAAATGGAATATATATCCTACCTAACACATAAACTAAAGAATATTACAAGTACAAAATTAGCATCCACTTTACCTTTGCATATAGTGCAATGCTTCTGTTAGCAACTCAGAATTAAAACACTGGGCACTCCCATGATGAAAACATTTCACAAACTAGTGCCACGGTCCGAACATGTACTCACTGTCTGTAAGTAATACTGAGTTAACAACGGAAAAAAAATTTGGGCAGATTGTTACACATCAAACTTCTTCAAATATAAATGAACCTTATTCACACTCTACACTCAAGTTATCATTGCAGGTATCATTTACTTTAAACAAGACTTTCTTTTCCTAACCTAACTCCGAGGTATTTCTTTGACTTATTTCACTTTCTCTGCAAACCACCACAAAAATCTGTACCTTGGAAAAATATGGAACAAAATTATTAGCAATCTGAAATACTCATTAGTTACAGTGGAATGGTTATTAAATACCCGTACAGAGAAATGGTTATAACTCGGTTAAAAAAAACTACAGTATCACAGTCATTCCTCCCAACTCGATACTATGTTCATTGCATCACCATAGCTGTCACCATTTTATAAGGGCCTATGCCTCTTATAACAATTTTACTTACAATCATTGGTAGCGTGACGAGAGGAGGCTCGTGGGTATATGTAATGATAGTATCAAGTAATAGGGAAGAAATAACGGTAGATACTGTAGGTAAATAATAGACACAATATACAAATACAATATTTATTTAAACATTAAAATGGAGGTAGGAGAAAGAAAATATGT